TTCAGAAGCGTATTTTAAAAATCTGTATAATTTCCGTTTACCTGAAACCATCGAATCCATCATTAGATCCATTGATCGTGAGAACAGGTGCTCTGGCATACGCTTTTGCTACTCTTCGGTTCCTTTCGAAAACAATTACCTTGGCCCATATTTCGTCGTCGATTTGATTCCATTTGTCCAATACCTCTTGAATATGATCCTGAAATAAAACATCATAGTTTTTATCGTTGAAAACAATTACCAACAAAATATATCCAGAACTGTGCGACGAAGAAATTTTTCAAAACTAAAATTACAGAATTTTCATTGGCCATTGTATTACTATTATATTGCTGATAGATTTTTACCTTGTAAAGTTTATCGAGATTATACCATACGTCTTCCTCGTCTTGATCCTCGTATTGTGATTCAACGAGGTTGTCCCTCGATCGAGATAGAATCTTTCGTCTCGATACCATTTTTCACCGAAAGATTCTCCCAATCTGTAGGAAATATTCATTGTTTTTACAATGTGACGATTTATTATTAAACTTTTCAAAGTTTCAAATTATTTCCCTAATAATCATTTTATATGATTCATATCATTGAACATTGTATGAACATTGTATCATCATGATTGTATTACAACGATAAATGATCGACGAGGTTACTAGGAAAATATTTGCGCTTCGAGTGCATGATGTTTCGATTTGAAATTTGAAAACTTATCGAACAATAATTCAACTTTTTAGGGCAATTTTTTTTTAGAAACATTATACTTTTGCTGTAGAATATTTATTATAACAAGCACGATGATTGTATAATTGCGATATCTTAAATAAAATATTATCAACTGCATTTCATATCCATTGGTCTAATATTAATTGATCACGTTTTATTTAAAATATATAGTCGCAAAGTGAAATAATAATATTCGCTCCGATTAACTATTCAATATTAATATTCAATATATCTTATAATCATGTTAATGCTATTTACGTTTTAATAATCAAGACACGATGTACAATATCAAATGTAATTAATTAAAAATATAATCATACGTGAGACACATCAAATTTTTCACTATTCATTCGTCATTATTACACTGATCGTGAGTTAAAACATTTCTACATATTTTGAATTACATTCTTCCGCTATGTGTAACGTGGAAAGCTCAATTTCAAATGTTTCAATTTACTTTAAAGTAATTTTTTTTTTTTTTTTTT